AATAATAAGAAGCAAAGCTTGTCTTGTACTTCCAGTCTTCTGCTTAATACTGGACCAGGTGGCTGAGGCAGCAGATTCAGCAGAGAATCCAAGACTTTGCTCTCCTCACAATCCTCCTCCAGCTCTACTGGGGGAAGCCCTTGATGCTCCCAGGCCACCCGAGGGACACAATCCCTCCATCATGTCCTGAGTTGTCCCCTGGGCACCCTGCCGGTGGGACATGCCTGTTACACCTCCTGAGGGAGGCATCCAGGGGAAATCCACCTCAGCTGATTCCTCTCAAAGCGGAGGAGAATTAGCTTTACTCCAAGCCTCTCACAAATGACCAAGCTCCTCACCCTATCTCTAAAGCTCAATTTGGCCACTTGTATTCAGGATGATGTTCTTTCAGTCATGGTCCACTTTGTATGACCATGAGTGAGGGTAGGTGAATTGGCCAACTAGTATATCGAGAGTCTTGCCTTTTCACTCAGCTTTCTCTTCACCACAACACACTAGTGCATCTTCCGCATCATAGCAGCAACAACACTGATCCATCAATTGATCTCCCGCTCCATTCTCACCTCACTCATGAACAGGATCCCAAGATATTCAAACTTCTCCACTTGAGGCAGGAACTCTCCTCCAGCCTGAAGGGGATAAGCCACCTTTTTCCTGATGAGAACCAGGACTTTGACGGGAAAAAAAAGGTATGAGGCTGGTGTGAGTGGATACTCACAATGGCCACTTCCCAGTTCGATGCTAACCATCCCAACACGGCTCTTGGCAGGAGGGAGCCAGTAGAACCACACCATTTGCGAAAAAACAGGGATAAAATCTGTTGATCCCCAAACCAGACCGCTCAAGCCCTTGGCTGCACCAAGAAATCCTGTGCATTAAGTTTATGAAAAGGACTAGTGTCAAAGAATGGCCCAGTCAGACTCCAGCTTGCACTGGGAAGAAGTCCAAATTAATGCTTGCTGCTCCCCCTGAAGTCGAAATTCCACAATCAGTCGGGACCCTGGCATTGGCCTTCCTGCCCTAGGGGAGGCTGAGAAGTGTGATCCCCTAGAGAGTTGGAACACACTCTCTGTGCCATTTCTTATGCAGGGGAACCACTATCCCGGTCTGCAAATCTAATCTTCATCGCAGGGGTTATCCAAACCCCACAGTTAGACCTATTTGTGACCCACTTGTGTCTGCAGTCGATCCTGAACCGTATCTCTGAGTTTCTTCATTTGATAATAGAAACTACCGTAATAAGTCAGCTTTTTTCTTAACTATGTCCACTACAGGACAGACCAAAGCAAGATCTGTATCACTGCAGGTAAAGCCCCAACACATTTGCACATTTGCACTTCTATGTGGAAAAAACACCAAAACATTTAAAACCTTCGACATTATGCAATATTTGAGTCCAGATGGAGCATTTCAACTTGTCTTGGTGAGAACATAACCTGCTTCTTAAAGGGGCTAACTAGCCCCCCCCCCCCCCCCCCCCCCCCTTTTTGACATTAAACTGTGAACAATCTCTAAAATGGGATCATGTTGCCCCTGAACCAGATTACCCTTCACATATATTTCATAATACTTTGTTCATAAACATAATTAGAGACAAGAACCTTGGTTAATATTCAACACAAACCTAACTCTTTATTTGGATAAACAACAGACAAATGGCATCCCTGGCTCCCAAAAGTCCTGCAACATCTCCCACAAAACAGCTTGAGGGATATGATTTCTAAGCTCCTCCTCATACACCAAACATACAAATGTTTGAAGCTGCAAATCCATATAAAAATTTTAATTTATTGGTCCTAAGTTTGGTTTTGTAGATTTGTTCAGGCAGAAAAAAGTCATTCTTAACCAGCCTCACTTACTTTGTATTTTCCTTCTTCTTGTTTACGTTTTAGCTATTTTATATTTAGTTAGATTTTTTATGTCTAAAAAAAAATTGTTTTATATGCTTACAGTTATGGCACATCACTGGGAAACAAATTAGTTAAAGTGATGGGAGGTAGTCCTTGCCTAGCCAAAGAGAATCAATCAATCAGTCTTTCAGTCAGAAACGCTTTGATCAATGTCCTATATCAAACCAAGGTTATCAGCCCAGCCAACTTACTTTCAAAGTACTTCTTTTTCTGAAAAGAATGATATACAGAGAAGATATTGCCACACAAATTGGTGATACTTTCACACTCTCAGATTCTCTTCACAATATTGTAACCAACCCTAGAGCAATAATCAGCTCCTGCAGCTCTGGTCTATAAATAACACTTTTCTGCCAGCACATGACAATTCAATGGTAGTACCACAATATGTAAGTGACGAATCATGAATGAGGTACTTGATCTAATTTTGGATCGCAGCCCTGATGAGCATGGAAATATCAAACTTGAAGAACAAGCACTGCAAGGAAGAAACCTGCCTAAATTCTCAATATGGCCCACACTTCTACTTTGTACTGATAAAGGGGCTCAAGATCAGGCTTTTATAAGTAGAAATATCCTAGATGTGTGATGAAACCATAGTCTTTGAAAGAAACAGTGAGTAAGGTTGATTTACCTGTATATTAAGTGATTGGATGAAATAGGAAATTTAAAAATTAATACTTTATTCTGCAACTTTCTAAATAAATTTTTTATTACAACCTATAAATATGAGATTATTAAGAAAACAATTGAGGAACTTAAAGTATATGGAAACAAACTGTGTTTCCCCACACAAAATAATATGTTGTTCTTAATTATGCAGGTTAAGCTGTCTGACATCACTTTGACTTAAATTCTTCTTCAATCCTAATCAAAAGTTAACTGAGCAGAGATTTCGGATGTTACACTCAGTAAAAACAATGTACATCACAAAACAAAACATAGACTTAACTCATTGTGCAGAATTATCACCCTTTATCCCTGCCTCTTTAATAACTACTACAATAACATGCTAGGAAAAGTAACAACAGGTTAAATTGAAAAACAGTGAACATTTGAGCAGTCCCATGACACCGCAAGGTTTGAAACACTACAGTTCCTCCCAGTAGCATCATTATTTTGCCATATTATCCTTGATCATATAAAAACCATTACCCTATATGCAATAAATTGGAAATAAATAAGTAGTTGCAGGGCCATTTTTGCGTTAACATTTTCTCAGTGTTGCTGCTAAAAAGCTTCTTTCTTTCAATAGTGATCTGCTTCCCACTATGCAATTCATATTTACATACCCAAACTTCAAAAGCAGAGATACAAGGAAATTAAACAAAATATGTTATAAAACAAAGAGGAAAAAACAAGGGTACATTTGCATGTCTAGTAAAGTGTATCAGGGAGATTAATAGAGCTGTTAATGGCAAATTATCTTGCCAGTTGAAACTACTGAAATTCATCTTTACCTGGCTGGTAAAATAATCATGCATAAAAGTCTTTAAGTAGAGTAGTATTGTGCTTTACATTTAATTAAGTTGATTATCAGGGTTTGTGCTGTTTTTTTGTACGAGCTTCAAAAAAAAATTCTGCCAACATTTAGTGTTGAATGGTATCATGTTTGGTATTCTATAGCATTATGAATTAGGATAGTCTTCTATAGTTTGATAAACTACATATTGCTTGCATAGATCATTTTCTCCAAATCTTATAGGTGCATTACCGCCACCTTCCAGACTGGAGAATGGATCAAACAATAAACTATTATCTTCTCTCCATAATGCCTGTTCTCCTTAGAAAACTAAAAATACTCCTAAAAACTACATCCTCAGATGATCTCCAGTGGAGGACTTTAGCTATTTTTTTGTAAAGACCCGCCCTCACCACGAGCCCATTTCTCCTTGTGCACGCACCTTTTTAAAAGTTGTTGTTTGCACATACAAGCTTACTTTCCAAAAGAAGATTTGCAATTTTTCCACCATGTCAGACTCACCACGATAAGTGAAAAATGGGGAAATAGGACTGCCTCATGTAAACAAATCACCAGAATGATTGACAATTAGAAGGACCACTTATTTTGATGATCCACCCGGAAAAAGAACATTCTCCACCATACTTTTAAGTATAATAAATATTTTTCTTTATAAATCAACTCACAAATTATATGAAACCTCTGCATGAGTAATAACTACATTGAATGTGCAGAATTTGCCCTATTTCTATCCACATGCTCACAAATCCACAGCCTCAACTTTCTACTAAGATTTACACACAAGAATTAATGATGTAGTCAAAATGTGTCTGTTAGTTTTAGTACCACTGAATGATACATAAAAAACACCATATATAACACTGCCAGAGTGTCCATTAGTTCTTAGAAGGTGTGTTTATGATCTAACTGTTGCATTCCATATTATTGGCAGAAATAGTGGGTGCAAAAATCCAATTTAGCATTAGGGCCCCTTTAAGGCTTGGCCTTGCCCTGGAGGGAAAAAAATCATCAATGACTTTAGTGAAACCACTATGGCTGCAGTGAATGTAGGACAGATTTCTAGGCCTTTTCCATTAATGATGAAAACCTTCAGTTGTTTCATAATAAAAGCTGACAGAAAGACAAATAAGGAAAAATAAACAAAAAAAAATTTAATAAAAAATAAAAGGAGGGTTGGAGTGGTTATCACAAAATTGCATCCCTTTCTCTAAGAAAGGGGAAAACATTTTTACAATGCTTTGTCACGTGATATGAATATTTGCCTACAGTATTTCTTTTTCTTTTTTTTTTATCCTGTAGTGAAACACCTGTATTTTCTCATTCTGGGAAAAAAAAAGGATTTTCTATTCTTTTATGAATTTGCAATCATTGTCAATGCTGTTATGGACAGACACATCTATCACATACTGCCTGAACTGGTAAAAACCAAAAAACCAAAAAACAAAACAATTCTGCTCAGTAAATCTGTCAACCCCTTTAGGTTTTTATATATTAATGCTTCATATCACGTGCCGGGCTGTCCGCTCAGAGCTGCGGCTGTGCAGCCATTGATTGGCCGCCTCTCGCTCTCTGTCTCCACCCAGCAGCTTCCCCTGCCGCTGCGCGCAGCCACACCTGCATTAAACCGGGGAAGTCCGTCGGTGAACGGACAGAAGCGGCAAGGCGGACACCGATATCAGCTGGAGTTACGGAGATTTGCGCCTTCGGTTCCAGAAAGCACCAATGGTGTTCAGCGAGAGAGAGTTGTGGGACTTTACGCACGTCACACCTGGCTGGAAATTAAATGAAAACGGAGGCGCACGGCGCAAAAATTGACATAAGACTGACAAAACCCAGCGCGTAGGTAAGACACCTTTAATAATTCCAGTATTACAAAAGAAGAGTGCTTCTCTATTAGGTTATAACTTTTTCTACTTTAAATCAAACTCATATTACATCATTTTAAACTTATATTTATTTTCTTATGAATGATTTATTTGATTGTTGGCATTAGTTACCCCTTCTTATGGCAAGGCAATTTTATTTGTATAGCACAATACAGTACATGGACATTTCAAAGTGCTTTACATGATTTAGATAGTAAAATAGAAGAACATTAAAAGCAAAAACATTGTCTTATTAGTGTCTTCACCTTTCCCTGCACAGTTTTTTTTTTTACTTTATATTATTGTTAATATTTTTTGTATGTGCAAATGAATCTAAATCTAAATTTACAGAATAAACATCACAAGTGATGTATTACACATATTGTGTTTGAATTTAACTCGTTGTTTTGCTTGCATTTTTATGTTTCATCTTTAAATTGAGGCAAAATTATTATTATAGCTTCATTTGGATCTGTCAGATAAAAGCTCTGCTGTAGCCCATTAGTACATGTAGCTCTCTAATTATGCCTCAGTACTGTATAGGTTGAAATGTTCATCTAAAATTTGTAATATAAGGAGTTCACAAAGTATGCTCCTAACTATCGGAGTTTATATTTTAAGTAGATCAAATAAATGTGCAATCTAAATCATACTAATATATATGGAATCTCCATGGTGCTCCCTTTTCAGCTTCAGTACCATACTGCTGTGTTCAGGCTTCTTATCTTCGGAGAAGTCAGAGGTCATTTAATATTCCATCCAAAACAAGGAAGTAAAACATGATAACATTATGAAACGCCTCAACCTTTGGACTGAGAGGAAGGCCAGAAAAGTGTTTAGTGTAACATTGAAATACACTGTATGTCATCAATTCACAGGCTACTGTCATGTCAGTATTGCTACACTGTGGAAAATCCATAAAACACACATAAAGGAAGTGTTGTTGAAGCTGTATTCAATATTGCAATTGGAACAGGTCGATACACGGGTGCATGGGCCTGACCCCCCATGGGCTGCTCATATAGATCGATTATAATGTTGAAGACAGATTAATCATGACTGAGAATATGAAATAGGGTTACGTGCTCTCAGTTTTTCAGAAACACTTCAGTGCTTTTAAGATGACGTCTAGCACTTAAAATACAAGTCAGGCTGAAAAAAAAACATGTGATAGAGCTCGTTAAGGAAGAGCCTGAAGTCAATAATAGAGCAGGATGAAAAAAGAGGAGAATAACAAAGTGAGTCATTAAATAAGTCTTTGGCAGAGTTGTGAGACTAGAGTTTATGTGTATGTGTGTAAGAGATGGACATCACAGACTCCGTGGAAGTAAATGGGGGATTAGGATTTGAAATATCTCTCAGAGTTTTTTTGAATGCACTCAGTCAGTCAAGAAGAGTGTCAGCAATAGCAGTAGCACCGTGGCATGTAACAACCCCTCTAATAAGCACAATCAGTTCCACACAAGCCCTGCAAAAGATTACAATGGTGTATTTCTTCAAAGAGATTTTCCTCTAAATTTGTCTGAGCCATGCTTCAAGAAGTCATTGGTAATATTTTATTACCTGTAAACACTCCAGGAAATACTTAAAGCACAAAACTGGTTTGGCACAAAACATAAGGGATCATCCATTATTTTGCATTTATAACAAAGGAAAATAAATACATTAACAGCACAGTTTCTTTGGCATTTGTCAAACTTTCCCAGTTTTCAATTGATGTTTTTTTTTTCTTATAAGAAGAGTCTCTCACCTCAGCTGTAGAGCAGGTCATCCAGAGCGATCATGGGCCTCTTGACTGCAGCTTTGATCAGTCTTTTCCTTTTTTGAGCTGAAGTTTAGAGGGATGGCCGGGTATTCGTAGGTTTGTAGTAGTCATACTACTGTACTTCCATTTCAATATTATTGCTTGCACAGCGCTCCTTGGAATCTTTTAAGCTTGGGACATCTCTTTTTATATATACACAGCTTTAAACTTCTCCACAACAGTATCTTGGTCCTGCCTATTGTGTTCCTTGTTCTTCATGATACTCTTTGTGCTTTAAACACATCTCTGAGACAATCTTCTTCTTTTCTTTTTTTTGTAATGTTGGTTGGCAACCAACTTATAGGTGCATTACCGCCACCTTCCAGACTGGAAAATGGATCAAACAATAAACTATTATCTTCTCTCCATAATGCCTGTTCTACTTAGAAAACTAAAAATACTCCTAAAAACTACATCCTCAGATGATCTCTAAAACAATTTCCTTATATTAATTTATATTTGTTCCTACCAAACTCCCTACGTAACATCTCTCCTTCCTGAGCATATTTATTACATTCTAAAAAAAAAAAAATGTGCTGTACTGTTTCTAATTTTCCACAATAATTACAACACCCTGTACTATGCTAATTAATTATTTTAAGACTACTGTTGAATCCTGTATGTCCGAATCTTATTCTAGATATATCTTCTTCTTTTTTAATTCTATTACATTTACTTTATTGTACAACCTTTTTTTGAATACTATAATAAAACATAGCATTCCGTCCTTCATCCCATTGTTCTTGCCATTTCTTCCTGATATACATTTTACTAATATTCTTTATCTAATTTTTACTTATTTTAATATTTAAATCAACAATATTTTTTTTTTGCAGCATTCTTAGCAAACCCATCAGCTAACTTGTTCCCTATAACTCCAATGTGGGCAGGAATCCAAACTTAGCTAGTTCTACATCTCTAATAACTTTCTTTAATCCATTTAACTAAGTGATAGGACTTACTCCAACCATATCCTGTCTAGCCTTAAATTTCAATATAACTGTAAAAACGGTCATAATTATCTTCTTTCTTCCTCATCCTCAAGAGATTTTTCACCAGCATTTTGTCCCTTTTTAATTTGATCTTTTCCCCCTCTTCTATTTTTAACCATAGACCATCCTATGTCCACTTTTAAATTCTGCTTATAACCTGCAAATTATTCCTGTTTGGTTAGTTGAACTCGCTGGCTTAACACCTCATTCGGCCGAAACAAACTCCCAGAACTCGGCTCCTCTGAGACAATCACAGAGCAGATGCACTCATAAGGAGACTTGATTAGACACAGGTGGATTTTATTTATCATCATCAGTCATTGAAGTCAACATTGGATTAATCAGAGATCCTCACTGAACTTCTGTAAGAGAGTTTGCTGCAGAAAGTAAATTGGCTGATTAATTTGGCATGCCACACTCTTCAGTTTTTTTATTTGTTAAAAAAAATGAAATATCCAATAAATTTCGTTCCACTTCATGATTGTGTCCCACTTGTTGTTGAGTCTTCTCAATAATTTTAAATGTTATATCTTCATGGCTAAAGGCTGAAATGTGGCAAAAGATAAAAAATTTGAAGGGGGCCGAATCCTTTTGCAGGGCACAGTGCTTAGATTAAAACGATCAAAGTGTAAAGATACAAAATAACAATGTGGAACAATGGCAAGGATGAATAGATTCACATTCACTTTTTTTAAGAATGACTCAAAATAATTTGATAATGAAATAAACTTTTTTTAATATAAACAGCAGATGATTCCATGCTGCGGGTGTCGTAACGCTGAATACTATGTGGAGCAAGCGAAAGAAAAATTTTATTAGAGCAAAGGGAACAGCCAGTATCAGATCTTTGTAAGTTTGTTAGTATGATGAAAATGAAATAACGTTTCCCAATCTCTAACCAGCCTGTTTTGAAGAATATCTATCAACTGTGGAATAATCCAATTTATATTTGAGCAATGAGAATGTTGGATTTTGAACTAGATATCAGATGCAGCCCTGCTTCCCTAATGTCCATGAATCTAAAATCAGATACCAAACTATTATTAGTTAGCTGGGGTGTACGGGCTCTTCATGCAACAATCACAGTGTGCACAACACTGAGGAACACACAGTCCCCCTTGCAGAAATCTATTTAAAAAAAAAATGTTCTGATCAGTTGTTTTTTTCTGTGTTCCTATTTTCTCACAATGCTCAATGGCAGAATGGAGCCCTTTGCTGTGAGCCACAGTAATTAAACAAAAAAAATCCAGTCTCCTCCTTGTTGATTTTTACCTTTACCAAATTGCATGTTATATTAGAAGGATAAGGCTGTGAAAGAAGGTGCTATTGGCAAATAATAACCAACCAAACTTTTTAAAAACAAAATTTGTTTCTTAGTTTTCATGTTTTATCTAAGTATTTATAACATAATATGATTACCATCTATTGGAACCATCATCCATCAAATGTTTATCTCCGTTCTATACTTTTAAAGCTTTCTTTAATCCTACATCTAATAAAATGTTACCTACTGCTCGGCTTTAAACATTAAGAACAACCTGATTCAGTTTAGCATCTTAAGATGATTCTTAAAGATGAGTAAACATTGCGGCTTGCATCCAAATTAGATCTCCTTGAAATTTTATGCAGATTATACTTTTGCTTTTATCAGCTTCATATCTGCACGGCCCCCTGAAAAGTGAAGCACCAGAAAGGACTCATCATCATCTGCATGTTAGAAATGAATTAACTAATGTTCAACTAAAATGAGCTACCTTGAAATTAAGTATGCTTCTTAAAAAAATGAAAGATTAAGAATGTGCAAATGTGATATTATTGCTATCAAACCACTGTGTTAATGGTAGCACTTAGAAAGTTGGACAATCACTGTATTTGTAATTGTGATAAGTTGGACAACCCCCAACCCTCCTCTTTTCTGTGTTTATTTACTTGCTGGCCCACAGGCATACATTTCAGTGTTATTTGCTAAATTCAGTTTCACAATTAGACAATGTGAAAGTAATATTTACTGCTTAGTATCTGGAAATATTTAAGCCTAAAGTGATGAAATTTAAAAAGCAATGTTAGATGATAGGAGAAGAAAAAAGTAGTTTTTTTCCCCATAATCAGCAGTAAAGTGACAGAAGGAGAATCCATTTTAAATGCTGGTTGACTAGTGTCAAATATTCACTGCTCAGTTGTG